CATGAGTTTAATCGGATTATAGAACAAGAAGAAGTCCTTTGGTACCAAAAATCAAGGTCAAAATGGATTACATGCGAGGACAGGAATACAAAATTTTTTCATGTGTCTACTATCACAAGAAGAAAGAAATGTAGACCTCAAACACTCAAAGATTTGAATGGTAACTAGCTAACTAATCCAGAGGATATTGCAAAGGCTTTCCAAGACCTTTATTGTGATCTGTTTGGTTCAGCCAACCCCAACTCTTATCCTCACAGATCTTACAATTTTCAGAATAAACTTAGTGAAGAGGTAAAAGAACTCTGGAAAACCCAGTTGAAAATGATGAAATAAAATGTGTTGTTTTTAGCATGAAACCAATGAAGGCCTCAGGTCTTTATGGACTGCAAGCCATATTTTTTCAGAAATACTGGGACATTGTTGGGAGTTCAGTTTGTAACCTTGTTAAAGAAATGTTAGAAAGTAGGAAATGTCCAAGTGACCTGAACAAGACTTGGGTCACCCTAATCCCTAAGGTGGAGAACCCCTCACAGATCACACAATTTAGACCAATTAGCCTTTGTAATGTTCCTTATAAAACTCTTACCAAATTGTTGGTTTCTAGATTAAGACCTTATTTGGACAGCTTGATTAGCCCCAATCAGAGTAATTTTCATCCTAGGTAGGCAAACAGTGGATAACGTCATTATTACTCAAGAAATCATCCACTCTTTAAAGAGGAAGAAAGGAAAGATGGGGGGGGGGTATGGTAATTAAAATTGACTTGGAAAAAGCCTATGACAGAGTTAATTGAAATTTTTTGTATAACACCCTGATTGATTTTAATTTCCCCCAGTCTTAGATTGATGTTATTATAAGCTGTGTTATAGGATCAACCCTTTCTAAATTATGGAATGGTTCCCTCTTTGACCCAATAAAAGCAAGAAGAGGGTTGAGGCAAGGGGACCCCTCTGCCCCCCCTATCTTTTTGCGTTGTGCATGGAAAGACTGGGTCAACTAATTCTTGAGAAAGTGTAGGAAGGTAAATGGAGAGGACTTAAAGCCTCAAGAAAGGGGTCTCTTATCACTCACTTGTTTTTTGCTAATGATGTTATTTTGTTTTATAGAGCCTCTGATTCTGACAGTCTCATGATTAAAGAGGTGCTTGAAGAGTTTTGTTTGCTTTCTGGCCAAAAAATCAATCTTAACAAATCTAAGATCTTCTTCTCTCTGAACATAAGTAAAAGGCAAGTTGGTTTCCTTAGTAGAAAATGTGGTGTCACCCTTACTGACGACCTAGGAAAATACTTGGGTATCCCCATCCTTCATAAAAGACCTTCAAATGACCATTTTAAATTTATTTTAGAGAAAAATCAAAATAGACTTAGCAGGTGGAAAGCCAAGTCTCTCTCCTTGGCAGGTAGGACCACCCTTGTTAAGGCTATTACTTATACTCTCTCAAATCATGTTATGCAAACAAATTGGCTCCCTCAAGCTACCTGTCAACAGATTGATAGACATAACAGAAACTTCTTATGGGGAGACACCCCTGATAAGAGGAAGGTACACCTTGTTAATTGGGAGAGGGTTTGCTCTCCTACTAAGGAAGTGGGCCTGGGACTAAGGAAGAACAAGGATAAACCTTGCCCTTTTATCTAAACTGGGGTGGAAAGTTAAACGCAATGAGAAAGTTCTTTGGGTGAATGTGGTCAATAACAAATATGTTGATCAGAATGAGCTAAATTGGAAACATACCACTAATTGTTCACCAATCTAGAGAGCTATTTGTAAGACTAAGAACCTAGTGGATATTGGGTCAAAATAGCTAATAGGTGATGGTAACAAGATCAATTTCTAGACCGACTGATGATGGGGAGAAGGACCTCTTGTACAACAGGTCATTCATCTTGAGTTGTTGAACCTCAACAAGAAAGTTGCTGACTACATCGATGATAAAGGTAATTGGAATCTCCAAGAGGCAGGTACTTTCCTTCCTCACTTCACTTTTCTTGACATTTTACGTTATCCTCCCCCTTTATCTGATGATTTTCAAGATACGGTATGTTGGGGTCTTTCTAGCAATGGTAAGTTTCCTTCAAAGGCTGCATTTAATATTATTCACAGGTCTATTCCATGTAGCTTTCCTATTTTAAACTGGGACTGGATCTGGAAATTGAATCTCCCACAAAAACATAAACAATTCTTGTGGACTGTTTAACGTGATAGACTTCTTGCTAACAACCTTAGAGCCTCAAGAAACATGGTTAGTGATGCCTCTTGCACTAGATGTCATCACCCTGAAGAAACATCATTACACCTGATCTTTGAGTGTCCTAAAGTACAAAGATTATGAATTTTTTTTTTAATTTGTCTGATGGTGAGGATTTCAGTAACATAGGGAGGCTACATGATTGGATTATTTGGAACTTTATAACAAGGAAGCATATGGACTGAAAAGGAATTAGTTGGCCAATAATGTGTGCATGCGTGTCATGGTGTATATGGAAAGATAGGAATAGGGAAAGCATCTCTAAATCCTTTACTTTACCCAGAATGAGTTGCTAGAGAAGCGTGGCTCCTTGCCTTGGATTCTGTTAATGCCTTTCATAAGGTTCAAGAGGAGCCTACTCGTAACCCTCTCTGTCGGATTGCTTGGTCTTTCCCTCATACAGGTTGAAACAAGCTCAACACAGATGGATGCTCAAAACGCAACCCAGGCCCTGTAGGAATAGGAGGGATCATAAGAAATGATCAAGGAAAATGGACAGTGGGCTTCTACGGGAGAATTGATGATTCCTCGAGCTTACAGGGGGAGCTTTGGGCCATCCAAAAGGGCCTAGAGATGATCCTGAAGAGGAACATTACTCAAATTATAGTGGAAACTGATTCCCTTGAAGCAGCGAAGTTACTATCCAAGGACCCGGAGGTCAACCACCCCAATCGTGTAGTCATCTTTCACTGTAGGAGGATTGTGGATATGAAACAGATTCCGATAGTCCACACCCTTAGAGAGGGAAATCAATGTGCAGATTTTTTGGCAAATCTCGATGTCCAGCAGTTGGATGAGCATGTTGAGCTTGATGCTCCCCCTCACCAATTGGCCAATTTTTTGTTAACAAACTTGTCTAGTGCTACCTTTGCTAGGAACTCTATCTAGCTCTTTTGTCAATTTTACTTTCTATTTTCTTTCCGATGTACCAAAAAAAAAAGGGAGTATTGCAGTGTTTAAATGGTTTGATCATGACTGTTTGAATTAGAACTAAATTCTTTACAAAATTATAATTTTTAGAGAGAATTACACTCAGATTTATTGAGGTTTGTCACTTAATCACTCAGACTCCCCTGATATTTAAAATATTACACACAAACCCCCTGACATTTGTTCGTAACACTTAGATTCATGTTGTAAATATATATGTTAATAAATTACATCCAGACCCCCTGAAGTTTGTAAATATATATTACTTAGACTCTTTAAGTTTAAAATATTATACTTAGACCAAAAATATTTCAATCAAAAATAAAATATCAAATATTTTAAATTTTATAATTAAAATTCATATTTTATTGTATAATTTGTTGAAATAAAATCAAAAATAAAAATTCAAATTTTTATTAAAAATTATAATTAGTATACAATTATAAAATACCAAACTACCCCAATTAAATTTAAAAGATATTGTATCTACTACAGTTTGATTCCTTGTTTAATTTTTTAGTTTTATTGTAATAAATAGTATAATTATATACTAACTATGATTTTTTTTTTATTAAAACTTGATTTTTATTTTAATTTTATTTCAATAAATGATATAATAAAATATGAATTTTAATTGTAAATTTTAAAATATTTGATATTTTATCTTTAATTGAACTATTTTTTGTCTAAATATAATATTTTAAACTTAAAGGATCTAAATATTATACACTTACAAACTTCAGGGGTCTGTGTATAATATTTTAAATATCCAAGAGTCTGAGTGATTAAGTGACAAACTGAATGTTTGATAATACCACTTAAGTCTTAAAACTAAATACTTTAAGCACTTAATAAATTAAACCCGTTTGATCAATTAAAACTCATACTACTTAATATTTTAATTATTTATTAAAAATAGACTAAAATTTTAAGTAATAAACCACCTATTTATCACTTAATGCTGAAAAGTTAGTCACTACTATCATTGTGTCGCCACCACTACCACTTTCATTGCCATTACCATTGTCATTGCCACCACCATCATCGCCACAACCGTCACTATCATTGTGTCGCTGTCACCACCACCATAGTGTTGCCACCACCACCACCACCATTGCTACCGCTACCACTACCATTGTGTCATCGCCGCCACCACCACTATCATTGCTGTCACCACCACTATCATCATGTCAGTGTCACCACCACCACTAGCACTGTCATTGCCACCACCATCATCATTACTATCGTTATCACTATCATTATGTAACTATCACCATCACCACTATCATCGTCGCCACCACTATTATGATGGTGATAGGAATAAGGTAGTTTGCGGAAAGAATAATAAAATTAGAATAATAATAATTTTTAGATTTCAGTTCTTTATATTTATTAAACAGTTTGATTAAATTCAATACTTAAATTTCAGTTGATAACAAACAATCTGTGAATTAAAAAATTCAACATTTAATACTTAAAATTCAGCATTCAATTTTCAGTATTCAACTTTCAATTTTATCAAACATCACATTAAAAAGATATATATGTAATTCTACCTAATTTTTATGACACCTCTTTGGATGTGGCAGTCGTCCTTAGAATTACATTCATATGAAAAATATTTTTTTTCTCTTTACCAATAAAAACGAAAAGAAAGGGAAAAACATTTCTCTTATTATTGTTCAGTTCTTATCACTTATCAGAATGACCACACCATATATAAATTATATGTTAGCAGCATATACTTTGAGTACCCTCCCAATAATTCCAGCTACCCGAAAAGGAATATCCTTTATTTTTTTTGTTTGATTTTTTTTTTTTTGAAAAGGAATATCCATTGAAAACCCCTCCAATGCCACTCTGATTCGTTTATCTATCCTCTCCAACCCTACGCACACACTTCTTGCAGTATTAATCAAACTCAATAAACCCCAAACCCCAACTATCTTCTTTCCAAAGAAGTCACCATACATAAATTTAAGATCTACCTGCAAATCATCATGGGCACATCTTCTCTCTCTATGAGTCCTGCTCTCTCTCCTCCTCCTTATTCTGTCCTTGCCTCCTCTGCTTCATCATCTTCTTCCTCATATACTTCGAATTCTATCAAACTCTCTTGTTTTTGTTCTTCAAGAGCAAAACCCATTAGTGTAATTTGCACAAAGACTCGTTCTTTGCAGTGTAAAAGATCCAATTTTTGTTGTAAAGTGAAAGAAAAACCATTTAGACAGAGACCCTTTATTTCAGCTTGCAAAATGACCATCACAGAGAATGCGGATGTAGAGGAAGAAAGTCCTCCTCCTTTGCTTGAATCTGAGATGAGTTCAAGACCTCGGCGTATTGCTCTCTTTGTTGAGCCCTCTCCATTTTCGTAAGTGCTCTGATTCTGTTTCTTGAAAATTGTAATGAACCCATTAGCTAATTGCTTTGTTCTGTTGTCTGATTTTGGGTTTTAGTTTGTTATAGCTTCTTCGGGTTTGTTGAGTTGACCTTAGTGATCCGGTTTAACTATGAGCTTTTTGTAGACCATAGTAATTTGATGAGGTTGAACTTAAGCAAGTGGTTAAATTTTAGCTATAATTTAGTGCATTTCAGTGGGAATTGTACTTGTTTTTGTATTAATCTCCATATATCAACTTCTCTCTGCAACATCATAGGTGAGTGTCTATACCTTGGCTTAACTAGGTGCTCTTCCAGCTGTTTTTTGATGTGGAGTTTTAACAAATTGGTTGGTATTATCCAATAATGGCATCACATGGTTGTAACTTAAAATTGTTCTTTGAAACATTTGCAGGCTTATTGGACTATCAGTGACCGAACCAACTTCGATAGTTAGCTGCCATTTGATGTGTCTCATTTCCTGAAACATTTTTATCTATGTATGATTGACCGGCTGACATTGCAATTTCATAATATTAGACATAATCTTATTGAGATATTTGATTTAGGTTTATTTGAAGTGGTCCCACTCTCATGTTCTTTCTATTTAATGTTGTAAATTATTGGATTATGTAATCTCGCCAATATTGATTAGATATGCGTGATTTGTGGGGGTGTGGGTGAAAATTGGCTTTTAACATGAGTTTTATGGTAGAGCACACCTTTATTTTTTGGTTTCGTCCAGTAAGTTCTTGCAGCTGTTCTTAGTTGTAGCTATAATTGTACTAGCAAGATTAAAAGATGATGGTTTTTGAGACACAAAATAAACTAAGATTCATTTGCAAGATCGTTGAGTACCAATTGTTATGTACGCTATTATTTTGCTTCAAAGCACATGCACTCTGCACTTCCCCCTGAATTCTCTCTCAATTTGTAGTTGAACAATATGATTCAATCCCTGATTACATGCTTAAAATTACTCGATAGATATGCCTGATTGTTCTGTCTATAATGACAGAATAAGTGATTTCTACGTGTATTTATATGTATGTGAATAAAGTTGGCCCATTTAAATCAAGCACTTTCAAATAACACAAACGGTTTTTGGCATGAGAATTCTGCCAACATTGTCTGTCTTGTTAAGCCAATTTAAATTATCCTGAAGTGTTATGAAGGTGCTTTGTAGTCAGTTTGACCATGGGGTCCTTTTCCAGATGTTGGAGGGCCTAGAAGTGTTCTGAGAAAAAGGAATATGAGTTTAATAGGGCCATCTTGTGTTAGGATTTCAGGCATATCATTTGCGAGACTCATTGGGAGGTAAAGGGTTTTGGGTGAGAATGTGAGTCGCTCCCTTTGTAACCATTGTACATATAGTGAAATTTCTTCTTAGCATCGCTAGTGGATGCAGGTCTATCAAGACTGAGCCACACACACACAGTTTGATTGATTATGTGTGTCTTGTGTATTTTATTTTTTTTTTTTGCTCGGCAAACGTTGGATTAAGCTCTAGTTTGTTATGCTTCACTGCTTCAGCATAACAAGAAGCCATTTTCCTTTTTTTGTTGCCTCTTTTATGAAATTATGTGTTATTTCGTATAATATCATCATGAAATGTTTCTATGCTCTCTTCTTTTATATTAATTAATGACTACCCATTTTCTATTGAATTTGCAGATACGTTTCTGGATATAAAAATCGGTTCCAGAATTTTATAAAATATCTACGTGAAATGGGGGATGAGGTATACTTGCTATCTTTTTTGCACAATTTTTATTTTATAAAATATCTATGTGAAATGCCAGTAGCCAACTTTGTATTTAGGAGATCCTGAATTTGGTCTTATGGCAAGGCTGTAATAAGGTTGTGTTGGACTGCTGTAAAATTGGCTAGGTGGTTTAGCGGAACTAACGCACTCAGAAGAGAAGGTCACATCTGTTTGGCTGCTAAAGGAAGAGCTGTAAGACAAGAACTGCTAGCTTCCAGTTGTCTGTTCCGAATATGCCACTTGTTTGTCTTCCTTGTTGGTTTTCTATTATTTTCTATTTTTGAGATTTTCTGTTTTTCTATGATCGTGATATATCATCGACATATTACTCATAGTTTTTAGAAGTTTCCTTGCCTATTTTAAACTTGATTTAAGTTTGCGTGGATAACTTATAGCTTCTGGCTTTTGAGCGGCATTAAACGGCATTGCTTATGCTTGCTTGATGGTCTTCAGCTGCTTTTTTGGTATTTATTTTTTCTTTTTCTTTTCTCTTCTTTGAAGTTTTAATACATAGATACATATACATGTAATGTTTTGAATGTTTGTTCTACATGGATGTGTTACTATTTGATCCACATCATTTTCCTCAGTTTTTCTTCAAGATGTAATTTTGTTTTGTTTCCACTTTTCTTTATAACAACAGCTATTTCTACTTACTTCCACTTCTGAACTACAAATTGATTTTCCATCACAACCCTTGTCATCAGCAGGGGACTGCGATCCTCTTTGAGCTCCATGCAACAGTCTTATATTCCTACAACTCTATTGCTCTGTCTCTAGCTTTATCTTGTCTTCTCTCTCGACATTCAAAGACTGCATATACAAATACAAATATAAACCGAACATAAATGAATTCATGTTGCAAACTCCTCTGCTAAAAAATCAATGTTGATTAGTTTTATTTTGAGTCATGGGTTCCACTCATATTTAATCTACTTAATCATTGATTGATACCTCAGACGGAAGCCATTTAGTGTGCTTAGGAATGTATCTCTCTCTCATTCATCTGTGTTTTTGTGTGTGTGTGAGTGCGCTACCAAAAAGGTATTTGGATATGGTTAAGCTTGGAGGCTGATTCCATTGTTTCCTTTTAGTACCTAGTTTCTAGGATTGTTTGCATGATTAATTACTGAACTGGGTTTTTGAACGAACGGTGTAGGTGATGGTTGTGACAACACATGAAGGAGTGCCCCAGGAATTTTATGGAGCAAAATTGATTGGATCACGAAGGTTGTAACTACTTGATTCCATATTCTTTCTCGTTGCACGAGTTATTTGCTTAATATCAGTTATAAAGTTTAATATTTATTCTAATCTTTTTCTTTTGTTTATGTGTTTCAAAACTCTTGTATATTTTTTCTTCATGGTTCATCCAAACCAACGGAATACTTGAACCTTATGATCCTCAAATAGTGTGCCTTGAACTGTTTTGGTTGGTGTTTGAAGTCTAAAAACATTTCTTTCTCTTAATGGTTCTGAATTTTTTTTTGCAGCTTTCCATGCCCCTGGTACCAAAAGGTGCCTCTTTCTCTGGCACTCAGCCCAAGAATAATCTCTGAGGTTGCCCGATTTAAGCCTGACATAATACATGCATCATCTCCTGGTATTATGGTAAGTTTTCTAATCTTCCCTTCTCTTGTTCTTGCTTGATCGTATATTCTTTGCGTTGCTTTTAAAGAATTCTACAAAAAAAATTGTTTGTGCTGAAGTGTTGACATCTTCTGTTTGTTTTTAGGTATTCGGTGCTCTCGCCATTGCAAAACTGTTATGTGTGCCTATTGTGATGTCTTATCACACACACGTGCCAGTGTAAGTTTATGAGTCTTTTCTATTGCCTCCGTTTGATATCATTTTTATGTGAAGGTTGTGAAATTAAGGCTTTGGGCTGAGCTCAATTCTTGTTTGGCAGATACATACCAAGGTACACCTTTAGTTGGCTGGTCAAACCCATGTGGTTAGTCATAAGTATGTGAGGTTTCCTTTCTTGCTCCAAATTAACCACAGATTCCAGGTTTCCTATTTGTGAGCTAACTGTAATGGTTGTTTTTTTTTGTGTGTGTTCATACTTCATATGTACACACCAGAATTTCTTCACAGAGCAGCTGATCTTACTTTGGTACCATCAGCTGCCCTTGGGAAGGAGCTTGAAGCAGCTAGGGTGACAGCAGGTGAAATAAACATCTTACACTCAATAAATCACTCTAAGCAACCGAATTCAGTGACAAGATAACAACAACGAACTTTACCCTTCTACCCAATCTGCTTTTCTATTGGTGTTGTATTTTTTACTAGCATCTAATTTGGGTTTCCACTTTTCTTCCACAAATCCCTGATGTGAAAAGGTGGATTATACATCGCAATATTCATGTCTATGCATCACAAATACTGAATTGCTCTTTGCTCATTTTCAGGTAACAAGATTCGTCTCTGGAATAAGGGTGTTGATTCTGAAAGCTTCCACCCACAATATCGCTCTCATGAAATGAGGTTAAGACTTAGGTAGGACCTTCCACCCGTCATTTTAATTTTCATCGCCTTGCAGTATGAGTCTTCTTTAAAAGTTAATATACATTCTTTTCAAATCAGCAATGGTGAGCCTGAGAGACCGTTGATAGTCCATGTTGGGCGATTGGGAGCTGAGAAGAGTCTGGATTTCTTGAAAAGGTATTGCTCTTCTGTTTCAATGGGCATTGATTACTTGCTTGCACCTATTGGGAATGATTGCATATTTTTTCCCTCATGCTGTTTTTCTCTCCAGTGGCTAAATGTGATTCAGTAACCATTTTTTTGTTTTCTTTTGAGCCCTTTCTAAAGGATAAGGGATTGATTCATAATTACCAGAATTCACTAAATCCTTGACGACTCACGATTTGGGTACATCAATCCCATATGGGGTGGGTTTGCGATCCAAATCACCAAAATATAGAATCCCAAATTGTACACGTAGCACAAAGATAAAATACATATTAATTAACTGTATGTGTATGGATTTATAATTATATATTATTGTAGATAATAGAAAATCGAGCAATGGTAACCGACTTGGTGTTTGTGGATGTTCTATGATATTTAATGTTGTATAGTGGTGAAAAAAATCTAGATAAGAGTTCTAAAACGAATTGCGATCCAAAATACCGTACCAGCTAAGTCTACCTCTATCATATCGCATACCATACCTGTATCATGTGCCAAAGCGATCCACAATCCAGGTTACATGGGACTGATTTGAGTAAGCTCTATGACCAGTTAAGAGTTAAGTAGGTAACTAAACCGAAGTCCTGTCATCCTGTGTCATCATAACCTTTAATTTTCTCACTAATCCCATCAATTCTCAACAATAGGAGTTCTGTTGCTGGTTATTTGTACAGATACACAACGCAACAGTAGAGCTGACCAGAAGATTCAAACTTATTGAGTACATGTTCATATTTTACAGTCAGTCGTAAGTGTTATTCTACTTGGGGCATGGAATTTTTTCTTTATTTTTTAAGTTACCCAAGCTTTTAAACCATTTTTTCTTTCTCGCATCCATATTTTATGAGCAAGAATTGTCACTTTATGCTGTTGACTGTAGGTGTACGAGTTTGACATTTGAAATGCATGTTTAAAACAGGATCATGGATAGGCTTCCAGAAGCTCGAATAGCTTTCATTGGAGACGGGCCATACAGGTGAGTTTTAATGACACTTGTTAGCTTTTAATTCCTTAAATGCTAATAGGTTCCACCGTCAAGCAAGAAATTTTCTAGGAATTGTACCAACTCTTATCACCTAGCCTTCTATAGTTCTTTGGGGCAAACTGTGCTTTGTAGACGAAGTGATTACTAGATGGATCAGGGTGGTAGTTCAATCATCTGGAATCTATGAATGAACCATCACACCCCTTTATTTCCTAAAGACACGTTACACCCAGAGCAACCAAATCCTGAACTCTTTGATTGAATCAGTTTCAAAAACTGTTCCTTAAGGGTAAGTTCTTTCTGGCAGGGGGGAGCTGGAAAAAATGTTCTCTGGGATGCCTGCAGTATTCACGGGAATGTTACATGGTGAGGAGCTTTCTCAAGCCTACGCCAGTGGAGATGTTTTTGTTATGCCTTCGGAGTCTGAGACACTTGGCCTTGTTGTTTTGGAGGCCATGTCATCCGGGCTTCCTGTGGTGGCTGCTCGCGCTGGAGGAATCCCAGACATCATTCCTGAAGATCAACAGGGTAAAACTGGTTATCTTTATAACCCCGGGGATCTTGATGACTGCTTAAGAAAATTGGAGCCTCTTTTGCGTGACTCTCAACTGAGAGAGACTATTGGCAAAGCTGCACGCGAAGAGATGGAGAAGTATGATTGGAGGGCTGCCACTCGGAAAATTCGAAATGAACAGTACAATGCAGCCATTTGGTTCTGGAGGAAGAAGAGAGCACAGTTACTCAGACCGTTTCAATGGTTTGTTAAGCGAATTTCCCGGGCACCAGCAATTAACTACCGGTGATACATATTTCTTGGGATTTGGACTCGCATGTTTTTTAGAAGGCCTTTGAAAGTATGTATGTGATGTATTGCTTGAATCATTACATTCATTTGTATGATATGGACCTCAAAAATTGGTCCGCTTGTTATCCTAGTTCATATCGTTTGGTTTTTAAATAAAATTGGTGTAATAAACAACGAATAATCATCGATTTATATTAGAAATTTTTTTTTTTTTTTTTTTGGGGGGGAATTGGAAGATAGTCTTACTCCTAAGGGCATAGTCCTCCATGAATTTCTTGCACTAACCAACTGATTAGCTGGTTGGGGTCATTTCACCATGTAGGGGCATGACAACCTTCCATATTCTAACCCTTCGTGATGACATGCATCTTGATGCTGAAAGGTGTCTAACTAAATAAGCAAAAAGGAAGTCGTTCATTATTGTAATTATTGTTTATCACGAAATCTGTAACAAATAAATATTAGACAGTCTTATTCTTATTTTGGAGAAGTTGATTTTTGAATTCAAATCTTTTTTTTTTTTGGGATGGGAGGGGAGGGGAGAAGAGAAGGGAGCTTGAACCCTTGACTTCAAGATAGCAAAATTTTCACAAGATGAAGAATATTATTGGACCAAAGATCTATTTGTCCTCACTTCAACCATGACCTCTTACTGGATATATAAACCAGTTAGAAAGAGAATTCCAAGTAACTATTTCAACCCTTTTGATTTACATCAGAAAAAGGAATAATACAAGGACAACAAAAAGGAAAAAATAGCTCCATGTAAGTTGGTTAAAGAAATACCAATCTTACCTCAAAGATAGTTCAATCGGTAACAAAATCGAGTTATAAACTAAGACTTGTTGAGTTCGAATTTTAATAATACCTTAAAATTAGGTCAATTATTTATGAATATCCTAATTTTAACGTGAATGATCTGTCTTAATCGAAATACATATAAACTGATCCAAATATCCCTAAAAAAATACCACAAAAAAACAAGAAGAAATACCAATCCAGTCTACTCAAAAGTCTTTGGGCTTGTGATGGGCATCCAAGGATTGGAAAGTTGGAACACAAGTCTAACTTCCACTTGCCATTTGATCACGTGGACAAAATGAAAGGTTGTTCCATTACATTCGATGGCTAAAAAAGTCCATAGCCCCTAGTGGACAAAATGTCATTGCCATAGTCCCCCCCCCTTCCTTCATCAAGACCACAATTTACAATCCAACCTGCCTGCCTATTATTATGGCCCACTTAGTTTCATATTTATCACATCAAATGACACTTGCTTCATATCATCCTGGTCTTTTAAATTATAGTTAAGATAAAATTCAAATAGTCTAAATATTTAAGAAATATACTGCATGAACTCCATATCCATCTCAAGCCCCGCCATGGTTTGGGGAGCTAGAACAACTTCCAAATCAACACTCCCATTTCCGTCATGACCGGGAAAGGCTGAGATCTTACCATCAAACTTGTTGGCCCTACCACTCCGAACCGCCAAAGGTCGGCCCCACCCAAAATCATTTTCATACATTGGAAACCTAGGGGAGCTCCCCATGGTGATCATAGCCCCATCGAAGTTTCCTAATGGAAATAACCTTGGGTTACTCTCCCAATCCTTCACACCCCGGCGCACCGTAGCATCATCATGCTCCACTACATTCTGGTGCAGCAGATCTGCACCGTAGCACAGTTCTCGAGACAAGAGCTCGCCAACTGAAGCAACGGTCGGGATGCTCTGAATCGCATTACCGAAGTACAATGGCTCGAGCAGTGGCCTGAGCCGGTGTCTACAATTCACGGCCATCCTAAACGTCGTCGTTCTGTTCCCATCCAGCTTCCTCGCACGTGTCACTGATCTCCACAGTTGAGCAGAAAGCGATTGGAACGATGATACCACAGCCGTTGGATTTACGACACCGTTTTTGATTAACTCCTCCAAGACGGACGTTATCTTCCCGTTAGTTTTACCGTTATCTCCATTAACGGAAGTTATTTTGCCGTTAGTTTTACCGTTGTCTCCGTTAACTACTTTCCAACCGTCATTACACATCTTCCCCGCAATCTCCGAATGTTTCAAACCGTTATTGGCTCTGAGTTTTAGCTTCAAAATCGCTTCTCTGCTGAAATGGAAGACTCTTTCACGTAATGGTTCGTCGCCGGAAAAAGTAACGGACGGTCCACCGCTGGGAAATCGAAGAACAGCCGGAGAGTTAAACACTGTGTCCCGGTTAAAATCCGGCGACTTTGATATCTTTTTCGCTCCTTTGGTGACTTCAGCAAAGGTGTTAAAGAAATTCCATAACGAGGTTCCATCAACCACGGCGTGGTTGATAGTGCAGCCGATGAATACGCCGTCGTTTAGCTCGGTGACTTGCACGGCGACAAGTGGTTTGTAGTGGCCGGCGTAGCTGAGAGTGCTGTCGAATACGAAGAACTGTTTGAAGAAGGCTGGGACGTCGATGTTAGGGTTTATGAGGTTGTTGATGATGAGGGTTTTGGCTTTGGAGTGAATGAAGTCGGCGCCGGAGTCGTTGCAGAGGATGTGGACATGACCATCGGGGTCAGTGTAGAGGCGGCCAGCGAGGGCTGGGAAGTGGGAGAGGGTTTTGGAGAGAGAGAGTTTGAGGAGAGAGATAAGAGCATCGGAGTGGAGTGGTGGTTGGGAGAGCAAGACACCCTTTTGGATGTAGTGGCATGAGAGCATGGGAAGATCAGAGACCGAGAGCTTGAGAGACTTGATGGTTGATTTGTGTTCTGGATGGACAGTGCATTTGGAGATGATAACAACAGAAGATGAAGGCATTTTTGAGTACGTAAATGTATGGGCAAGATGTGTTTTGATCGCTTTTGTTTGGTGTGTTTGAGAGTGAGTTGGGGTGAAGAGTGATGTTGGGACTTGGGGTGGTATATATAGAGGTGGTATGGGGGGTGGGTTCATGCACCTGGATGGTAGTTGCATGGTTGGTTCCCCTCTCTCTCTCTCTCAATACTATACAGACCTAATTTAAAAACTTAATCAGGCATCTAATTTGATATAATTGTTGGATTAATTGTATAGAAAAATTGAATTTGGACCTAATTTAAAGACCTAATCTAGGGACCTAATTCAATACAACTATTGGATTGATTGTGAGCTCCATTTAATATTGAAACTTACAATTAATCCAATAATTGTATTAAAACTTTGTAAATTATAATGTTAGATATAACCTACTTTTGACTCAATGAATACATTAAATTAAGTTCATACATCATTTTCCTATGTGTATTGGTTCATTGTCTAGAGTGCTAAATTTAAAGCTAACCTAGTCAAGAATATATTGTAGATGCATGCAATGAAACCAATGTAGCTAATCTAGTTAGAGTGGTTGAATCATAAGGTCTTTCTAGCTACTAGCTAGCATGAGTCACCATACCTTGAATTTGGAACAAAATTTAGAGGTAGAATTTGGACTCACAAAAGAATATGAGAAATAACCATAACTATTCAACCATCTCTTTATTAATCATTTAAAAGGGGTCTTAGAATCGACGTAATAAGATGATCGGACACTGATAATTCTATTTGTTTATGATTAAAATTCGATTATTAAGTTTATGCAAATATTAAGGGTATTTTGTGGGCCACTATTAGACGTGTAACTACACTTTTATTCATGTACACATCAACCCCATTGGGCAAGTACCAATACACAGCATAGATGGTTCATAGTTAGCAGGCAGGAAAGAGCCGTTTAGGCCGAGTCGTTTGACCCTCCAATAAAGCTCTTATCATTTTCAACGCGGTACAAGTTGATGGACGGTCACACGTTGTGCCCAAATCATGTTAAAAACGTTGCATACCAGCCTTAGTCTGGGATTATTTATTTATTTATTTTTCAAAATTATCACCCGTCTTTTTTCTCTGGATAGAATAATTCTATCAAGGCTCAGTCATTAATTTTAAATTAAATAATTTTAAATTATTATTATTAAAAAGTAATAAAATAAAAAAAATTTATATACATGAACTTGTCTTATTAATTAACAGACAACGATACAAAAGCTCGATTATAGTCTTACATCGTTTTTCTTCGCTCAACAATAATGTGTGTGTGTGCGTGGGCCTCATGTGTTTTATTGCTATTTTCAACCATGTAATCATCAAATTACTTGTATCAAATTTTGCTTGAACTTGTAGGAATTTATGTCCAGATGCTACAACTCATGTTTTTTTTTTTTTTTTTGTCCATATGTTGGGTTAGGGATGCGTATAGAGAAAGTGAGCTTCGAACTCCGATACTCGGGTTGTTCGTCTTGTAGAGACGACTCTTACCAGAGTGATAGAGTGATTATTTGATGAATTGAGTTAAAATTCATATCTAGTTTATCAAACATTAAATCTATTGAATTATTTAGATCAGATTGAATAATTATGTCAATTTTTTTGGTTTCAAATAAATTGCAATATAGACTATAAAATAAAATCAATCGAGTATCCAAATGACATTCAAATTGGAGATTTTGAATTGGATATAAATATAAATCAATCTAAATCTAATTTATTAACAGACCTAATTAATCGGGCCAACCTCAAAACAAATAACAATTAAGTCAGATTAATGATAGACATAAATAACACGATAAATTGATACTGTATGACATGACATGATACGACGTAACAAAAATTCACACCCTATATGAATTAATTGCTATTGGCAGGAAGCTAAGTTGGTATTTTAAACGTCAGTTATTCACTGGCCGAATCATACTCTACTTGCTGGTGTTCACAGTAAACTTTCTAAAGCAACATGTAGTGGTTGATGAATTGAGTGCTTTAACCCAAAACCAGGCAAATTAGACAAGCTTTCTTGGCAAGTGGTTTGTGTACACCTGGTTTGTTTACCAGGCCTTGATTTAGACATGTGACAAAAGATGATAAGATCAGACAAAATTGGGAAGTTAATTTCTTTTTTTGTTGACACTTTGAAATTTCTACATACTACAATGGAAATTAGATTGACGATGTTATATATATATATATAATTTTATTTTATTTTATTTTTGCGAAAGGGTGGTTAGGGGGCGACCAGATGAATCTTGAAGTGTCCACCCGCTGTAAAATATTCACTTTGAGTCATAGTTACTGATTTGGAATTGTCGAGTCCATCACTATAGCACCACCGATGGCAAGCTAGACATTCAGTCTCTCCAACACTATTTAGTTTATAGGAACTACTACTGCAAGCGGGTTCGAACTCATGATCACTAAAGGAGGACGAGACTTTCACCTTCTACTGAAAGTCAACTAGGCTACAACCTCGGTAGTAGGTGTCATATATTTTGATTTGCAGCTTTAATAAGTGATTATACATCCAAAGAACACATCGTGTCATCAAAGTTGAGAATTAATCTTTTCAAGATATTGGTGAGATTACCTAACATTTATCTCTTATTTTCCGAGATATTAGAAAATAGTCTTATCCACCCTACACAAGATTTTATCAAACTCATCCAAAGACACATATATGTAAAGACTGCATTGGATTTTGGCATAGAAAATCCAATCAATTCTTCTGATGAGTTAGCTCAATAATCAATAGATTATGGACAGCACTCAGGCTAATCTAATCATTAATTGCCTATCTGGGTCAGTGAGCATGATACATAATATATGTATGTGGTGAATAGAACACAAGTCAAAAAGTGTATGTGTCCATGTTCATGCATCTGCGGAGAAATTACCCGTTGACGACCTTCTTTATACTCGACCTCCGCCGGCCACTAATGTGATGCCAAAATAATAATAGGACAAAGGTCACAATGACACAATCAAGATTAGGTTAGCAAGATATATATTGGTCTTTTTTCGGCTGCAAGTACGTCCTTTCACTTTCATTCTTGGTTGGTTTGTGTTTGGGTGGGTGGCTTGGGGTAAATGAGAATTAAAGTCCTACACGATTATGCTACTAAATTCATGACATTTTTGTCTATTATTCACAAGGTACATCATTATTACAATAAATAATCGACTATTACAATAAAGATCATACATTTACGGTAAAAAAAGGTAAAAAAATAAACAAATATGAGTGAAGAGACATCCGATAGAGTGTGGGAGACAAAATCTCTAAAGATAAAAACATGAGAAAAATTCATTTGCCTTTTACAATGATTGATCACATATTAAATAAAAACTTCCTAGAAGAATCAATATTGGCCAACTTGTTAAAACATGTTGAATTACAGTTTGAGAGAGAGAGAGAGAGAGAGAGAGGGAGAGTTCCATTATACATCCATCTGGCCAGGAGGAAAGGAGACAAAAGGACATTGCCAACAAAAGCTTTCCAAAGGCTCTTACTATTAAAATGGTAAATTGTGTGAATGTGGTGGTGACGTTTGCTAAATACCCAACTAAATATTGTTAGTGATCATAGTGGTGTAATTAGTTGTTTTGGTCATGACAAAGTATTTATTAATTTGGATATCAATCATATCAATGATACTTTTGTTCAAGGTGCGTGTATGAGACTATATGATTATATACATACATATATATATATATATATACAAATTGGCCAAAACAATGACCAGCTGTATGATTGTCCTAATATAGGCTCCTTACATTGAACTCATTCACTTGTTTTGTGTTTGTTGGATGGAGCATTCATATGTCAAACTGTCAGTTCCTTGTGCCTATATATGATTGAACTTCTAGCTTTGAATTTTCATTTACTCTCTTGAGTTTTTATATCGGAGTTGGATTCAGATCGATCCGAAAAACTAAATTTTATAACCTTGGAAGTAGTTTATTCGTGTAATAGTGTGTGTCTGTGTGTGATTGCATATTACTGTATATATATTTTGTGTACTAGTATGTATATTTGGACATAAGATACATATAAGAAATTTTGAGGTGTTGACTTCTATTGAAATATGAACCTGTAATTAGAAAAATGTTTTTGAAGGTCTCGGCTATGGCTTTGAGACAAAGAGACGAAGGACAACAATAATGGTTCACGGACTGCATAACCATAAAGAACATGCATGACTGCTGTAAGCATCATTCCCTGGTCCCACCCCAGCAAGACCACCACAGTAGGGTCAGTAACTAGAAGGATGTTTAATAGTGGCAACTATGAACTACCCACTCCCCAGATGAATGACTAACTTGTTGAAAACTACATCGATCTGCAATATAGCCATCATTGGATTCAAAGACCAACAGCATAAGGTTGACAGACAAATTTGAGTTGGCAAAGCTGTGGCTACCACTAAAAAATGTATGACACCCACTTCTTGAGTCGGGTTTAGGTGAAGTCAAATATACATTTTTGTATTCTTTTATATATATATGTTGATAGATTATTTCGTAACTCGAATATATGATTACTGTAACCCCAAAAATCTCAAATTGTTGATTGGGAGACAAAAAAAAATCATTTGGGTTTAAAATTGGGTGGGTAGACCCATGACCTATCACTAAAGTTCATAATACAATCAAGCAAGCTGGCCCATCTCTTCAAAACAAGTCTGGCACATAAAACCACTATGGTTTTTTTTTTTTTTATGTGGTGAAGAAACGAAGCTGGTCTGTTACAATACTTTTGTCCCAAAGGAAGACTCCAATGAAACAGTTGATCCGACAATGGTTGATGGCATAACAGAAGAACTCGAAACCCATGATAGATCATGGTGTTTGATACGGTTGGCGGATGACAAATGAGGAGGGGTTTGTCACTTTCCTTCTACTTCTACTTGTGTCTGCCGAATCATTGGTTTGGATAAGATCTTATCTCACTTACATTATTAATTCCACCTTTA